TGGAATTCAAAGGAAAAGACTTTTCAATGAAATCAGACAAAGAGGTGTGAAAGGGGAATGGTTCAAATTTGGGACATTTATTATGGAATCTAAAGGAGGAAGGACTAAGGAATGACATAGCTCCGGAGGAGAACCTCGGTGCCTTCCCAGTCTATCTTACTATTTGGCTTAAATTTTAAGGAGAAAAATTTAAGTGTTTCATCCTGTCAATTTTATTAATTTAGGGGTTACATTTGTGTAAAGAAATCACATAAATAGCCTGAAAGATGGGAGGACTTAGGTTGCGACAAACGACAACCTCAGAATCCTAAAACGAGTTAGAGCTTATATTGTACAGCAGAGCTATACAAATGCCTAAAGATGAGATGAGGATTTATGTTGCAAAGCATATTAGGAGGATTTTTTTAAGAAAAGCATATTAATTTTAGTAGACCTCTGAGGTATCCAACAGGTTAGGAGGATGAAGCAGGTCCATGCTTCCTTCTTATCACCTCGTGAAAAGCCTCGAGTTCATTTAAACTTATTATGTTGTTTAATAATTCACCCTATGAACACCCTAATGCTTAATGAACATTGATGTCCTAACTATCCCTAAGAGTAGGGTAATTACCATTTGTAATTCAATTTTGAAGATTATGTGAATGAAGACCCTTAAAAGGGGGCAAGCTAGCGTTGTTGGAACACTTGCCAAATTTTGGTCCTGGTTGGGCTTGTAGTGTTTTAAAGGTCTTAAATTTTAGCTATGTTTTCTTTTCTAATCCTTGTTTAATCAATTTTGATTTAATTTAGATCACTACTAAGCCCTTAAGACCTAGGTGAGTATCTTAATTAATTTTGAAAAGGTTAAGTTTTACGTGATCATGATTCATTATTTGAATTTCATTTGAACCTCAAATAGGGGTATTAAATTGATTGATTACTAACTTCAAAAGTCATACCCCTAAGTCCTATGTTCTTTTAATTTTAATAAACCTCCAAATTTTAATAATCTAGAAATTTATTAATTTATCCTTTTAATTAGGAAAGTGAGGTGGGTTTCTACCAATTAATCTGCTTTTAATTTCAGTCTTCCAAACAAGTTAATTAAGATCAAAGGTTGCCCATTTCCCTCCTTGAATTAAGCCTAAATGTTAATTAAGGCCAAATTCATAAAATTACACTTTTGCCCCTAAGGCTCTAACACTTCATAATTTATCAAATTCAAATCAAATAACT